CCTCTGGGGAGTGCTATTCTGAGACTGCTGTGCAATAAAGAAGCCCAGAGTGGAAGTGAGTTTGGAGGGAGAGGTTCGGCCAACCTAGCTTCTTCAGCTGAGCTCACTCTGCAGCTGAACCGCTGGCTAAATGCATCTTCCTGAAAATAATATTGTTATTTTAATCCCCAAGTTTCAGGATGGTGGATTCTTCCAAAGCAATAAATAAAGCAGAGAAAGTGGGACCAGAAATACAGAGTAATAGATTAACCCAACATAAAATGGTACTTAAAGTACAAAGCAAGAGATGAGTGTAACAGAAGTGAGTACTGTTCTAACAAAACCCAAACACATGACAGTGTTCAGGGCCAGGCAGCAAGTGAATGCTGGAAAGGGTAGAGAGGAGACTGTTGGTGCAAGCTAGGAAAGCAGGGAGGAAATTGCTCCTGGAGACCAGACAGAGGTGAGCTAAGTAACTGTTGCCTGTGGTACCTTGGAAGGTAGTACATGTACCTGATGAACTTGTTGATCTCACTAATGTGATTTCCTTGTATAATATAGACAGTAACGATTATCTTCTTTTAGCTGGCTTTGATGGGAGGTGGCATTTCCTATTGCTGCCATAAAAAATTATAACAAGCTCAGCATCTTAAATCGCATAAATGTATTATTTTATAGTTCTGTCAAAATCCAGAGACAATAAAAGTTAAGGGCAGATCAGTAAAATAGTATTTAGAGCTTATTGTGCACAAAAGAATAGTCCATGCATGGGGTGCCTGGGTGGCTCAGTCTGTTAAGGTCCTGTCAGGTCATGACCTCAGAGTCCTAGGATTAAGCCCTGCCTTGAGCTCCATCCTCAGTGGATTCTCTCTCTCCTTCTCCATTGTGTGCCCCTCCCCACACAAATAAATAAATCTTAAAAAAAAAAAAAAAGAGTTCAGGACTGGGAGTCTCCAAATCCAACACTGAGATGAAGCTCAGAGGCATGCTGTTTAGGGTGGCTTTTAATGTGGAAATGAGGAAGTTCCTTAATCTTTACAATGACCGATTTTCACTATGGAAGTTGACCATGGAAAGAGCCCCCTGAGCTTCTAACTTTCTTTGCTCAGGAAGCAGGAGGCAGGTGCTCGCTTCGGCAGCACATATACTAAAATTGGAACGATACAGAGAAGATTAGCATGGCCCCTGCGCAAGGATGACACGCAAATTCGTGAAGCGTTCCATATTTAAAAAAAATTAAAAAAAAAAAAAAAAAAAGGAAGCAGGAGGCAGGCTGAAGGAGATACAAGAATATGGTGGAAATGAAATTGCTTGAGACCAAAGCCTAGATCTGAAAAGTTACCAGAGATTCCACAATCACCCTCTCACCCTCTTCAAATACTTCTCTGAGACTACCAGGCATGCAAAGAAACCAGGAGTGAAAGACTAGGTGGAGAGAGAGAGAGAGAGAGAGAGAGAGAGAGAGAGAGAGAGAGAGAGAGACAAGGCTCTCCCCTCCCCCCTCCTCCCCTTTCCAAGCTGTTCCAGCTGAGCGAGCCCCTAACCAATGAGGTTAGCTGAGTGCAGCTGCCTGGATATAAGCCCAGGCAAGACCAATAGAATAACCACACAGCTAATCTATAGAATCACAAAAAATAACAAATCGTGTTGTTTTAAAATCACTGGGTTGTGGTATGACTCAGTAGTAGATAACTAGTATTGTAGCTTAAGTAGGTCATGTACGTAGTAAGGTAATAGCTTTTCTAGCTCACACATTATCTGTCTATATTGTCCTATTATTCCAAAAGACACATGCTTACCTCGTGTCCTGAGATGGAAAAGTATCATAATCATAAAATGCCTTGGATTGAGGAGTATTATTTAATGTTTATTGAGTAACCATAAACTATAGTATCATTTTTAAACCAGAATGAAGTGATGCCTAATAAAAGTTTTTCCTTTTCACAAAACTTCACATTGCTGCAAATACAATCTCAGTATACGCTCAACCTTTCATAGTATGAATAATTTCCACTAGCTGTGTCATCCTCTAATGAGCTCTGAAATGGATAGGGGAGCCATATAAAGAAGAAAGAAAGAAAAAAAGCCTTTATACCTGGGCAATAAAGAAACCCTGGTTGCAGAGAGACACCGTAACAATAAAAACACTGGTCAGATGGCAAAACCGTCATCTTTACCAAAAAACTCAGGAGATGCTCAGTGTTTTTCCTGCTAACTATGTGCTGTAGTAGATTCTGGTACTGGGTAGGATTTCCTCATACACACCTCTGCTTGTTTATTTGGCAAATCTTTATCCGGTGCTTCTTAATGAGCGAGGCATTGCCTTAGATACTGGTGATACAATAGTGAAGGAGTTAAGTACAGTTTCTGACTCACAAAGTCAGTTGGGAATAAAGGGTAGTGGGTGGATAAGGGAAATGTAAATACGCTGTTAAAATAGTGTGACAGGTGACAGGACAGGACACCACAGTTCATAGGATTTTGTTGATTAGTTAAGTTTCTTTAACCCAATAACTTGCAGGCTGCAATTGTAAAAACAAAACAAAAAAAAACCCCCTGCTATTCGTTTTGTAAATTGTTTATTTTTGCAGGCAGTGCTACATCTTGACCTCTTACTTTTCAGGTTTCTGGGGCTCTACAAATGCCTTTGGATTATATCATATGGATCCTTATATGGTGGTGTTCCTGATACTACTGACCCACAGAAGATGCTGCATAATAGAAAACATTATTCTTTGATTTTTTTTCCCTTAGGATTTCCAGCATGTCTAAATGGGGTTTTTGGAGAAAGAGTATCTTCAGAGAGGAAAATGAAGACCTCCTTAATGTAATATGAGAAGTAGTTTCAAATGTCTAAAGTCAGCTTTCTTCATGACCCTTTATAATCTGCAGCTGGGTCTGCCAGCCTCATTTTTTGCTTGCTTCTGACTGCTCCACCCAGACATCTGGAGCATCAAGAGCATTGCTCTATGTATTCATCTTTGCGTGCCCAGTAAGCACAGAATACATGTTTGTTGAATGACGCAAAGAACCACTGCAGAAAAAAATGATCTTTTGAGACCTTCGCTGTTTTCTGATTGCATTTTTGTCAGGCATATTCAAAACTTTTTATTTCTAAATCATTTCAGCAAACCACCAAAGTAAGACCATGATAAACACGAAAGCATGCCGGTAACTACGACTGGCTCAAAACATTTTCATGAATATTTTCATAAACATTATTGTATGAGGTGTCAGGGACAATGCAGTCCAAAAACCAAACTAAAAGGGCAACGTATTTTGTCAAATTAAACTTTTTTTTTAAAAATATTTTATTTATTTATTCATGAGAATACTCAGGAGAGAGAGGCAGAGACACAGGCAGAGGGAGAAGCAGGCTCCATGCAGGGAGCCTGACGCGGGACTCGATCCTGGGTCTCCAGGATCACACCCCGGGCTGCAGGCGGCGCTAAACTGCTGAGCCACCAGGGCTGCCTCAAATTAAACTTGTAAAAGCCAACACCGTCTGCATCATTTCTACAAGGTGCTGCTACTAGAAAACAAGGACAAGCGCGGCCCGGCACCGCTCTTGCAGAACTGTAGTTCCCCTCAGACAACAGCTGTTGCAAAGTGATTTTCTAGCAAAAGCAGCAGCCCCCAAGCAGGAACTGACAGCCCGAGGACTAAGCTTTCGTAGGTAACCGCTGCGACGCTGCGCAGCACAGCACCCTCGTCCCCCTCGTCCAAGAGCTAAACTTGAGGTCTGGGTTGGCCGCAGTTCCTCGGTAATCAAGTCACAGGCCTTTCCTCTCACCCCCTTCCCGCTGCTCTCCGCCCCTCTCCCCTGCTCCTGCTAAGGAAACGAAAAGGGTTGCAGCCCCTTGCCCTGGGCCCTCCCGCCCTTCCTCCGCAGCCCTACTGTGCTCCCGGCTCCGCCCCTCCCCCCGCCTCCAGCCTTGGGACACAGCCGGGGTGGGGCCCTCCCGGAGGCGGCAGCGGCACCAGCAGCAGCAGTACCTCCGCGGGAGCCGCAGGCCCGGCCTCCCCCCACCCCCCACCAACCTGGCCCAGCCTCCTCCCGGCGGCCCAGCCTCCTCCTCCTCCCCGACCCAGCCTCCTCCCGGCGGCCCAGCCTCCTCCTCCTCCCCGACCCAGCCTCCTCCCGGCGGCCCAGCCTCCTCAGCCTCCTCCTCCTCCTCCTCCTCCTCCTCCTCCCCGGCCCAGCCCCCTCCACGCCCTCCCCGCGGCCCAGCCTCTTCCCTGCCCCGTGTGCGTCCCAGCCTCCTCCCCGCCCCCCGCCCGGCCCAGACTCCTCCCTCCCGCCCAATCTCCTTTCTCCGGCCTAGCCTCCTCCTCCCCAGCCCTCCGGCCCAGCCTCCTCCCTCCGGCCCAGCCTCCTTCTCCTCCCCGACCCAGCCTCCTCCCGGCGGCCCAGCCTCCTCCTCCTCCCCGGCCCAGCCTCCTCCTCCTCCTCCTCCTCCTCCTCCTCCTCCTCCTCCTCCTCCCCGGCCCAGCCCCCTCCACGCCCTCCCCGCGGCCCAGCCTCCTCCCTGCCCCGTGTGCGTCCCAGCCTCCTCCCCGCCCCCCGCCCGGCCCAGACTCCTCCCTCCCGCCCAATCTCCTTCCTCCGGCCTAGCCTCCTCCTCCTCCTCCTCCTCCTCCGCCCCGGCCCAGCCTCCTCCCCGCCCCGCGTGCGTCCCAGCCTCCTCCACCTCCTCCTCCTGCGGCCTAGCCAACTCCCCGCCACTCCCTCCCGGCCCAGCCTCCTGCTCCCTCTGGCCCAGCCTCCTCCCCGCCCTCCCTGCGGCCCAGCCTCCTGCTCCTCCTCCTCCCCCGCCTCCTCCCCCTCCCCGTCCCCCTCCCGCTCCTCTCCCCGCGGCCCAGCCTCCTGCTCCTCCTCCTCCCCCGCCTCCTCCCCCTCCCCGTCCCCCTCCCGCTCCTCTCCCCGCGGCCCAGCCTCCTGCTCCTCCTCCTCCCCCGCCTCCTCCCCCTCCCCCTCCCCGCCTCCCACCCCGCTCCTCCCCCCGCGGCCCAGCCTCCCCGCGGCCCCGCCGCCGCTGCGGCAGTCATGGCTGCGGACGGGGTGGACGAGCGCTCGCCCCTGCTGTCAGCATCCCCGCCGGGAACCGTCACCCCCACGGCCCCGCCGTACTTGCAGGAGAGCAGCCCCAGAGGTGAGGCGGGCGCGGCCCTCCCGCTCGCTGCGCCGCGGCCGAGGAGGCAGGCCCCGGGGCGCTGCAGCTGGGGCGCGGCGGGCGGGTCCGCGGGCCCGGGAGCGGGGGCTGCAGACTGCGCCTCGCGCGGGCCCGGGCCCTTGGGAGCGCAGCCCCCAGGAGGAGGGCGGGGTGCGGGCGCGCGTGCCTCGCGGCCCTTCTCACGGCGGCCGTGCGTGTGCGTGTGCGTGTTTCAGCACTTCTTACCCGGGGGCACGGGCGTGACGGGAATCGGCCCGGCGCAGCCCCCAGGTGCCGCCGGAGGAGGTGCGCAGCCTTCGCGGCCAGTCATAAAGCCTTCCCGTGCTGAGAAGCCCCTAGCGCTGCTCACCTTGGGGTCTGTCCTTGAAAGGGCTTAGCTGGAAAAATGTGCGGAGCCGCCCTCCAGCCCCCCCCCCTCCCCGGGCTCTGTTCACTCAGGGAATTGTCTCACCAAAAGGAATAGCGGTAATCGATTTTCCTAATATGTCTGAAATTCCTGCCTTCCCTTATTACTCCCTCCGTAAGGAGTGTGCGGTAGCCTTGCTGGCGGATGAGGAAGCATAGGAAGGAAGATGGGATATTTCTGATGCATCTGGGTGAGATTGAAATGAACTTCTGAAAGTAACCCGAGCTAACCCTGCATGCATTTCTATTTATTTCACTTCTCAAGATGGAATCAAAAAAGATTTGATTAGCAGTGGGATCTGAAGAAAGAAGTGCATATGTGTGTGTGAGTGTGTGTGTGTGTGGGGGGGTGGGTGTTTAGCAAACTATTAAAAGATCTATCTTTGTTCTAAGCCTTTTAGTGGCTTTCTATAGTAGAAAGAAGGTGGAGTCACGATTTATTGAAAAGGGAAGGCAAGACTTGAAAACCACTTAGAGTTATGAAAAGAATGGCCAAATATGGCACTTGCAAATGTAGCTTAAGTGCATCTCTCCCTTTCCAGCCGAATATGAGAGGAGTTTAAGAAAACCCAAGGAGACAAAATGTTGATGCTTTCGAAAACATAGGCAGATCATGTTTCTTGTAACACAACTTCTTGTAAGTTCAAGTCTGGAATTGGAGCAGTTGTAGAGCAAGTTGAACTTGTTTAGTATTTAAAATTTCCACTTAATGGTAACATTGTCCCCAACTTGAAGAGGAACAATCTAGGTCTTAGTCAACACCCAAGAAGAAGCAGGACAAAGGAAAAAGATGTTTTGCTGTGAATAATTGAGTGTGATCAATCAGTTGAGAAATAAGGTGCAAAATGGGACAGAGACTTACCTACAGGAAAAACCCCAAGTCATGTTTGTATTAAAGGTGTATCAGAGGACACCAGCTGGAGGAATTTCCTTTAATGCACAAATTTGAGATTAATATTGTACTGTTAATCAAAATCGGGTCGGTCTAGGATAAGTTTAAATATTTATAAGTGAATGTTGCAACTTCCCCAAGACACCCTTTAGGGCAAAATATTTGCAGTTTATTAAAAGACAAGGTTTGGATTTAAGCAACTGTCCTATGACAGATTTTCATGTCCTCTGTCTTACATCTTTGTTTTTGTATTTTTAGTCATAGTGGCTAAATTATTCCACAAATATATTCATGGTCATGGACCTGCGTATGGATTTCTTTATCATTTGCCACATATTTGTCTAATCTGGTAAGACCAGATTAACTGCACAATCAGGTACAAATCACAGTTCAGCCACTGAGAAAAAGAAGTTTCATCCTAGGTAGCTAAATAACTGAAGAAATTCAATACATTAAAACACAAAATGTCATGGGATAAATGTTAAAGATCTTACTGGCTTTATTTAATGATTCGTGATTCTAGCAGCATCCCATCTAGCAGATAGAAAGGAGTTTCAAAAAGCTGTACCAAATGAAAGACTTCCATGGGCAGAAGGGAGTGGGAAAGAGGCAAAAAGTGGATGGGTTGTGGCAAGATCACTTTCGTTTAGGGGATGGCAGTGGTCTGTCAGGCAGATGACCTCACTAGTGCTAATAAGGTAGTTCTTGACTGACGTTCCAAGATTCCATTTCTGGGTGAGGCCAAAAGTGTAATTAAGGCTGTATTTGGTGATGTGGAGCTTAGCATAAGTGACTCCATTTTGAGCCTGTTGTCTTGTTTTTAACAACTGATTTAGCGAAAAGCCATTTTGGCCTTATGATAGACTATAGTTGTGTTTTTTTTTTTCCTTAAACTGGTGAATAAGACAGGTTAGCTAATTAGAAACGCTAATATCATGTGGCATAGTACCTAGGAAGCAAGAAGCATAAATTAGAAGTAAAGACATTTTATGTTATTGGCATTTATGTCAGAATATCTTTTCTTAAATAACAAATAAGCATCTTCATAAATGTTTTGAGTGATACACAGATCTGATTCTAGGAGACCTGTGGTATTTAGTCTTTCATTGATTCATTGGGCAGCATGGTGTGCCAGAGTCGGCTCTAGGTCAACAAAACTGACCAAACACGCCCCCTCTTGAAACCCACGCTGAAATGGAAAAAAAGAATAAACATGGGGCTGAATTATTTGTATTGTAAGAAACTGTTCCTAGACCAGATGTTTTCAGTAGTTGACAGGAATTAGTTAAAGGTTGGGATTCAAAAGACTAGAGTGGAATGTACTTTTTGATAATGAACTTCGGTTTATGATACCATTTGTAATCACCCAGACTTTTTTTTTTTTTAAGTAGTTAAGAGCCATAGCTAATGACTATTCTCTCCAGTTGAGCTCTTTGCTATTTGTGTCACCACCATCTAAGAACACAAATGTTAGCTCTCACTCAAAGATGAAAGAATCCATTTTAGGTTGAAAATTGGTCAAGTATTTGTAGACAGGTTATTGATAATGTAGTGGGAAGCAGTTAGTGTTTTGCATTTGGTTTTAGCATAATGAGAATCATGTGTGGTCCGTGTAACAGCGCACCTGGGTTTCTGAGTGGAATGCCTCTAGTGGTCTTCGCTGTCAGTATTGGATTCCTGCATAGAGTAGGAGATCATCTCTCTTACTGGACCATTTTGACCATTTTGTGGTCAAAATGCTCCATTTGGTACATATGTCAGATTTTATTAAGGCATAGAAATTAAAATCAAATAAATACACTTTTAGGCTCATTTGAAAAAATGATTGGAAGAAATATTGGAAGAAATATCACAAAGCTTACACAACTTGGCTATATTTATTGATTTCTTTATTATCTGCTAATTTTATAGGTGAGATATGAGACTTTACATTTATGAGACTTCCTCTGTGAAAAATGTTTATATTTAGGGCTGTCTAAGTATCTCTGTATTTAATTTGGGAGGGTGGCTATCTACTTCACTATAGTTTAAAAGAATTATTACACAGAGACAGTTTCATTTACCTAGTTCATTTCTGTCATTCATGCAGCAAATAAATACATGAGTACTAGCCAAGCTCTGTGGTAGGATGGGAAGAACAGATATGGCCCCTCTTCCAGTTTAATGGGGGATATTGAGACATAAATTACACAATCATTTGAACAAGTACACAGCGCAGGGGGATGAGGACAATGTCAGAAATGTATCTGGTGCCATGAAAATATGTAATAACAAGATCTAACCTGGCTAGAGAAGACAGGAAAGGCATTCCTGAGACTTGATTGAGGTCTCAAAGTTGAACTTGGCAAGGGGTGGATCGGAAGAACATTCTAGACTAAGAAAACAGTACGTACAAAGCCTTTAGGAGGATTGAGTGTGGTGAATGCAGGGAACTGAAACAAGGCCATGTGGTTAGAGTGGAAGTACTGATGGAGAAGTGGGTGTGGTGGATGTTCTCCAAAGACCCACCTCTCCCTCCAAATAGCTATGCTTTTTTGATATTCAAGTCCTTGGATGGGTCCCCTCCCTGAATCTGGACTGACCCTGTGATTCAATTTTGACCTATGGAGTAAAGTAGAAGAGAGCTGAAAGACTTTGGACACTAGGACGTAAGAGGTGTTGCAGCTTTTGCCTTGGTCTCTTATAAAGTGTACCCTGAAGAAAGTAACTTGTCCTGTCAGAATTTGAATGCACTGAGACTACCATGCTTTGAGGAATCCCTAACTAGACAGGTGGGGAGACTACACGGAAAGGAGGATGCCGACCAGCTCTCAGACCTGTGGTTGAAGAAGCCATCTTGGATGCCCAGCCCATTCGGGCCTTCAGATGACTCCAACCCAAGCCAAACTCTTACTGTAGCTGCATGATAGATTCTAGAACAATCCACAGAATCATGAAAGGTAGTATTAAACTGTTGTTTTAAGCCACTAAATTTTAGGGTGATTTGTTCTGCAGCAACAGATGACCAGAACAATAAGAATTGTTCAGTCCATGCAGGGTATTATTGGTTGTGTTGAGAAATTTTGCCTTCAGCAAAGGGTTGATCCAGTTAGATCTTTATTATTATCATTATTTAAACTGAAATATATTTGGCACACAATGTTACATTCATTTTAGGTGTAGAACACAGTGATTAGTATTTATGTTATGCTCTGCTCACCATATGTGTAGCTGCCATCTGTCACCATACAACACTATTACAGTACTATTGACTATATTCCCTGTGCTCAACCTCTTATCCATGTGACTTCTTCATGCCGTGACTGGAAGCCTGTATCTCCCACTTCCCTGTCCCCAATTTTCCCACCCTCCTATCCCGTCCTCTCCACCCTCTGACCACCATCAGTTTGTTCTCTGTGTTTATAGAGCTGTTTCTGCTATTTGTTTTGTTTTTTAGATGGCATATGTAAGTGAGATCATACAGTATTTGTCCTTCTCTGTCTTATTTTACTTAGCGTAATATCCTGTTGGTCCATCCATGGTGCCATAAATGGCAACACCTTTTTTTAATGGCTGAGTAGTATTCCATTGTGTGTATATGTGTGTGTGCATGCGTGTATACACACCACATCTTTATCCATTCCTATGTTGATGGACACCTAGGTTGCTTCCATATCTTAGCTATTGTGAATAATACTGTAGT